CTTTTCCGCCGGCGCTTACTGCATCACGCAGCTCCTGGCGCACGGGCGGCCGCGCATGGAGGCGGTGGCCTTGGGGGGTCTCCACGGCCATGGGCAGCCCTATTTGGCTGGAGTTCCGGCGCGCACGGACCCAGTCGGGAAGTTCCAGGATTGCCTGGGCCGCCTGGAGGAGCACCCAGGAGCGCCAGGTGGCATCTGGGCCGCGCGCGCCGAGGACGACGACCAGTGCCCGAGGCGGTGCGCCGAGGAGGCGCTGGAGGCATTGGGGGCCCGGAATGCGCAGCAGGGCTTCCCGCAGGCGCAGCGCGCGTTGCTGCCGCCGGGCATCCCGCGGGCGCAGTGCGAGAACAGCGCGCTCTGGCGAAGGGAGCTGCTCCGCGCGCTGCTGCGCGCGGCCCGCGAGCGCGGCAGCGAAGGCGCCGAGCATGTGCTGGGCGAGGTTGCTGGCGGCGCGGCCGGCGCGCTCGGCGCCGCGCGCATCTGGCTGCCGTGCGACGCCGACGCGGCCGGCGACGCGGCCTCCCAGGAGCTCCTCGCGAAGCTCCGCGAGGAGGCGGCGACGCGCCGACGCAGCCGGAGCAAGAAGGATCGGAAGGGCGCGCCGGCGCGCCGACGTGGCCAGCCGACGCGCGCGGAGAGGCGGGCGCGTCTGCAGGGGTAGTGTCGCGCCCTATCAAATATGACGCGCGTCGCTCCCTGCCATCGTCGCCGTCGCCGTCGAGGGCGCACGTGGATGACTTGGAGGGGGGTGACGAGGGGGCGGAGAGAGTGGTCGGTGGTGGGGGGTGGCCAGAGGGGCGGCCAGAGGAGAGAGTGGTCGGTGGTACCAGCCGTCCTGTGATATATTCGCCCCCAGCCAACCTCTGGCATGTTTGTCCCCGGCCGTCTTGTGGTATATTTGCCCCCTGCCGACCTGTGATTTGCAGATGCTCCGCGCGCAGGCGGTCTTGCGGGAAGCGAAATCTGGCAGGGCACTCCGGGCTAGGATGTTGTCGGTTTCTACCGTGCTTAGGCGGGGTGGGGGGGGGCTCCTTCTCTCCCTCCCCCTCCTTTGCGCTTTAGGGGTTTCGCATTTCCCCTTTCCTCCCCCCCTTTCCTCCCCCCCCTCTCGCGGAGTCTTGTCGGGGCTCTGCTCCTCGTGGAGTCTTGTCGAGGCTCTTCTCCTGGAGCCGATCGCCGTCCGTCCTTTCGTGTAATGTGATCCAGACCGACGCAAAATGGCGCGCCAGATTCTGCTCCCCGCCGAAATTTGCCCCACCAGATTCTGCCTCCCGCGCGGCTGCCGCCATCGCCATCATTATCATCAGCATGGCCTTCCTCTTCCTCATCTTGAGACATCCTCGCAACGCTGACCTCTGATATGCCCTGCCCCAAATTGTGCTGGCCATTTCCGCCCACGTAAAAACTCGCCTCGTTCGCCTGGGGGGGGTGCGCCCAGCCTTGAAATCGTCTGACCCCCGACCTGCCCCGGGATGCGATGTTCAGACAATTTTCGCCCGGGGCGCCCTCGCACTTCTGACTTCGGAGGTGCCCTACCCCATGGCGGTCCGACCACTTTCGCCTGCGACATCCTCGCGACAGCGGCATCCGAGACGCCTATAGCTGACCTCTTCAGGCCACTTTCGTCTGAGACAACGACCTCGCACATGCCCTGCCCCAAGTTGGTTCGGCCACTGTCGCCTGAGACCCTCGCAGGCCCTGCACTACCCGCGCAAGGCATCGCGCGCGGCGGGAGATGCTCGGACCCCTGCGGGACTCCGTCCGCACCAGAGACTCAGGCTGATCAAGCCGAGCCGCCCCAGAGCGGGGTGCGCCGTCCGCGCCAGAGCCAAACGCAAAACTCACGCCGTCGCCGTCGCTGTCGTCGTCGTGGCGGGGGGCTGACAACCATCCTATAACCCGATAAACCGATGGACCGATATGCGGCACAAGGATCGCCTCCACAGGTTCCCCCCCAGCGGTCTCAGACCAGCCAGTCAACCGATGAACCGATAAACCGATAAACCGACGAAGAGAGGGGGGCGCGCCAGCAATCGCCCCTATGTTCGCATTCGAAGATTATCGGTTTTTCGGTTGAGCGACCGATCCACCGATAAACCGATCAAATTATATCGGTTTTTCGGTTGATCGGTTTGCAAACCGTTCAACCGATTAGTTTTTATCGGTTGATCGGTTTATCGGTCGGATGGATTTCCGGAAGCCGTTGCCGCTGCACACTCACAGGCCCAAGCATATATTTTTGGCCATCTGTGGCCATGGGCCCCCTCTGAGACCTAACGTTCTTGTAAATGTTGGAACGCGCTCAGGCCCCCTCATCAGCAGTTCAATATGCGTTGGGGGTCGATGGGCCTCCGGAAGCTGTCTGTAAAAAGCGCCCATTGCCAGCGCGCGCAGGGATGGCGAGGGCGACCAGCAAGGCTGAGAAACATTCGCCCGACTCACTACGTGGCCCCCTGGTCGCGACGCTGGGCGGAGGCCTCCGAGTGCCTGCGGAGCAGTGCATACGGGGAAGGTTTCGGCGGGCGTTTCTGCGCTTGCGCGGCCGCCTTTGGGCGCGCGCCCGCGACTGCGACCGGCCGCGGGCGCTTCGTGATCAGTTGCGGGTGCTCGTGGGCACGCGTGGAAGGTCTCGCCCACCTTTTGGGGAATATGTAAACACGCGGGAGTGCTTGCCAGTGCTTCCGCGTGCCTGTGAGCGCCCGTGGTCTCGCGTGGCCGCTTGCGGGCGTCTCTCCCAGTAGCTGCGCGCTTCTGAGTGCCCACGTGCGCCCCCGCGCGCGCTGAATGGCGCTGCTATGTTGCGAGCCGCGCAAACTGCCGGTGCCCCGCGTTCCTCTCCTCCTCCTCCCCCTCCTCCCTCTTCCCATCGTCATCATCATCGTCATCATCGTCGTCGTCGTCGTCATCATCATCATCATCATTATCATCGTCATCATCATCGTCATCGTCACCCACGCCCACTTCGGCACACCCCTCATACGTTTCGTGGCCCCATAGGGAGCTCCACCGAAGGCCCCAGTGGCAGGGTCCGCATGCCTCCCCACCACCCATTTCGGCACACCCCTCACACGTTTCGTGGCCCCATAGGGAGCTCCACCGAAGGCCCCAGTGGCAGGGTCCGCATGCCTCCCCACCACCATTTCGGCACACCCCTCACACGTTTCGTGGCCCCATAGGGAGCTCCACCGAAGGCCCCAGTGGCAGGGTCCGCATGCCTCCCCACCCCCATTTCCACCCCTCACACGTTTCGTGGCCCCATAGGGAGCTCCACCGAAGGCCCCAGTGGCAGGGTCCGCATGCTCCCCACATTTCGGCACACCCTCACACGTTTCGTGGCCCCATAGGGAGCTCCACCGAAGGCCCCAGTGGCAGGGTCCGCATGTTCTCATGCCCCATCCACCAGGCCCCAGTGGCACCGCATGCCTTTCGGCACACCCCTCACACGTTTCGTGGCCCCATAGGGAGCTCCACCGAAGGCCCCAGTGGCAGGGTCCGCATGCCTCCCCACCACCCATTTCGGCACACCCCTCACACGTTTCGTGGCCCCATAGGGAGCTCCACCGAAGGCCCCAGTGGCAGGGTCCGCATGCCTCCCCACCACCCATTTCGGCACACCCTTCACACGTTTCTTGGCCCCATAGGGAGCTCCACCGACGCCCCAGTGGCAGGGTTCGCATGCCTCCCCACCACCCATCTCGGCACACCCCTCACACGTTTCGTGGCCCCATAGGGAGCTCCACCGAAGGCCCCAGTGGCAGGGTCCGCGTGCCTCCCCACCACCTATTTCGGCACGCCCCTCACACGCTTCGTGGCCTCATAGGGAGCTCCACCGAAGGCCCCAGTGGCAGGGTTCGCATGCCTCCCTACCACTCATTTCGGCACTCCCCAACACCAATTTCGGCACACCACTCGCACGTTTCGTGGCCCCATAGGGATCTCCACCGAAGGTCGGGGGGAGCTTGAGACTCTGGTGACACATGCGTTGGCACGTCTGGGTGGCTATCGGGTGGCTGGAACCGTTGGGGTAATCCGTGGAGAATGGGCTGTGGAAGTCGCTTCTTGCCTTCGACATCTACACGGTGTCTCCGCCACCTCTTCCTGCGTGCCCAGTAACAGGTCTCATGATGCGATGATGATACTGATGTGTTGGCTCGCCCCAGTGAGCTCTCCCCGCCCCAGTGAGCTCCCCCCCTCCGCCCGCCACCTCCTGCCCGCGCTGCCCTGTGCCTCGTCCATGCAGTGGCGCGGTGCCTATGAGAAGAGGGGCCTAGTTTGCGTGCCCCCTCCTTCGTCGCATATCCGTGCGGTGCTCGCAGCTGCATATGGTTGGGTCCTTCGCCAGGCTAATCTAAGCCTTCCCGGAAGACGCAGCGCACTTTTCAGGGGGGGCCCGCCGCCTGCTGAGAGGGCCTCCTTCTCACTTACCCCCTCGTTCGCTGCTGACAGGAGGAGGGCGGAGAGAGCTCTCCACCCCTTCGCGCGGCATTCGGCCTCCGGGGGCTGCTTTCGGGCACTGAGGGGGTCAGATATGGATCCAGGGTGAAAAACGCTTGGAGCGGTGCAGGGACCGATTCTGACCGGATTCGGCCTCCTCCCCTCCTCCTGGCCGAAGGTGCCCCAAGGATCCCCGCGGGGGGCGCCGCCGGCGGGCCCCAAGAGGGCCCACAGAGGCCTTGCTGTAGCCGTTTGGGCTCAAGTTTTTTGGTTGGCTCGAGCCGCGCGGCGAGGTCGGGTCTCGCCAGCGTGCGGCCCACCGCCGCCGCCCGGTGCAGGAGCCCATGGTGTTCTCCAGCCTTTGGGGCATGCTGCCGGTGTTTGGCGCGCGCTCGGCGAAGGTGGACCCCCGGGGCACGGGTGGTCCTCAGCTGGCCGCGGGCGGCAGGCGGCGCTGGGCCCCTCACTGGGGCATCGCGCGCGCGCAGCTGCAGGAGCTGCTGCTGCAGCTGCGCAGCGGCGACAGGTGGGTCGCCACATACAACGTTTACGACCTGGTGGACAAGTTTATCAAGCCAACCACCGCGGGCACGGGCACAGGATACGCGCTCATGATAAACAGGGACCAGCCGAAGGAGGTCAACCTGATGGTCTCGCACGCGTGGTCTGAGAACGCCGAGGAATTCCTGGAGACCTGCATCTGGTACGCCTCCGACACCGACGCGATGTTCATATGCGCCCTGGCCCTCTACCAGGTCGGGGACGCGTCTGGGCCCACGGTCGAGGAGCAGCTGGGCGACGGGCCCTCTGACAGCCCCTTCTTCCGAGTGCTGAAGCACATCCGCGACCGGGGCCGCCGCCTGGGCCCACTCCGGTGGCCGGTCCGGTTTATCTGCACCTGCCCGCCGGCCGCTGCTCCTGGGAACCGGGCTCATCGCGCTCTACCTGACGACGCTGTGGCACGGCTGCGCCCCCCTCGCCGACGCCTGCGCCACCAGGGTGATGTTGGATGGCTCGGGCGAGGCGCGCATGTTCTCGTGGGAGTGGCAGTGGGTCGACCTTCCGGACGACACGTCGGGCAGCTCTCGAGCTGGGCTTCTGCTCCTCACGGCCGCCCTCGCCTGCCAGTGCCTCAAGAGGCTGACGTGCAGCGGCCACGTGGTGGTCGTGCCGAACAGGGAGTGCGACATCTACACTCGGCTCTGGTGCGTCTATGAGATTTTTGTCGCTCGAGAGCGCACGGGCGTTCCCGTTGCCCTCGGGCACACCTTCGCCTCCGCGGGAAGATGTAGCTCCCGGGAGGCGACCTGCGGCAAGCCAGTTCAGCCAGGGGACCCCCCTAATGCAGACACTGTCCGCATCACGAAGGAGATCCTCGACGCCGGCGGCGACAAGGAGCACGACCGCATCGATCGGGCCGTCTTCTTGACGACCCGCGCCATGTATTTCAGCGCGGCTTTCTGGGCCCTGTGGTTCACGGCGCTCGTGGGCACCTTCTGCGCCGCGGAGTGGCACCTGCGAGCCCCCGAGATCGGGGCCGGGGCGGTAGTGGGGGACCTGCTCGCGTGCGCCGTCTGCGGCTGTACCGTGGTATCTCGCGCGTTGTTCGCGTGCACCAGAGCACAGGGGCGCCTCGCTCCGAAGGCTGTCGCGGTGGCCGTGCTTCCCCTGTTCTTAGGCGCCTGCGCGCTCACCTTCGCGAGTTTCGTTGCCAGGGTGGCCTTGACGGACGAGGGGAAGATTCGTGAGAGTTTCGGCTACACGCTCTTCGCCTCCTTCTGTGGGAACGGTGCCAGCTTCCTCATGGCTGGCTGCGCGATTGGTTTCATGGGCATTGCGGCTGCTGCGGTGGCACATTCGCTCCCCAACGCCCTCGTCGGCTTCGCGATTCGGCGGCCCGCGGCGTTTTGCTTGCTGACGTCCACGCCGCTGGTGTTGCTGCACGTCATAGTGTTCAGGACTCGGATGTCGCAGCTTCGTGACCTCTACGCGGCGCTCGTGTTCCACACGGCGGGCGTCATCGGCTATTTTTTCATCTCGGTCGGCCTTTCGTGGTGGATCCTCGTGCACGAGTGGGGCGTGAGGGCTGACCTCAGTTATTAAGACTTGGACGATCTTCGCACCCAGACATGTTTCAGAGATCAGCGCCGCGCCCTTGCCAGCCCCAGTTGTGTGGTATTCTGGCGCGCTCAGGAGGTATGATGTTGACTGGTTGCCACTCGCTGCAGACGCTGTGTGGCGCAGAATTGTTGTGCCGAGCGAGTGCTTCAGGGCCTTGTCGTTCCAGCCCGGGCTAGTGAAGAGCTGCGTGTTTGTTCCCAACCATCCTGTGGTGTTGGGTCCTCGTTTTGTAGAGACGGCGCCCCGCGTTCCTCACCTCCTCCTCCTCCCCCCCCTCCCTCCTCCCATCATCATCATCATCATCATCATCATCATCATCATCATCATCACCACCGATTTCGGCACGCCCCTCACACGTTTCGTGGCCCCATAGGGAGCTCCACCGAAGGCCCCAGTGGCAGGGTCCGCATGCCTCCCCACCGCCCATTTCGGCACACCGCTCACACGCTTCGTGGCCCCATAGGGAGCTCCACCGAAGGCCCCAGTGGCAGGGTCCGCATGCCTCCCCACCACCCATTTCGGCACACCCCTCACACGTTTCGTGGCCCCATAGGGAGCTCCACCGAAGGCCCCAGTGGCAGGGTCCGCATGCCTCCCCACCACCCATTTCGGCACACCCATAGGGAGCTGGCCCCACAGGGGCTTCGGCACACCCCACGTTTCGTGGCCCCATAGGGAGCTCCACCGAAGGCCCCAGTGGCAGGGTTCGTTGCACCCCCCACCACCCATTTCGGCACACCCCTCACACGTTTCGTGGCCCCATAGGGAGCTCCACCGAAGGCCCCAGTGGCAGGGTCCGCATGCCTCCCCACCACCCATTTCGGCACACCCCTCACACGTTTCGTGGCCCCATAGGGAGCTCCACCGAAGGCCCCAGTGGCAGGGTCCGCATGCCTCCCCACCACCCATTTCGGCACACCCCTCACACGTTTCGTTTCCACCGTGGCCCCATATTTCGGGAGCTCCAGCTCCCGAAGGCCCCAGTGGCAGGGTTCCGCATGCCTCCCCACCACCCATTTCGGCACACCCCTCACACGTTTCGTGGCCCCATAGGGAGCTCCACCGAAGGCCCCAGTGGCAGGGTCCGCATGCCTCCCCACCACCCATTTCAGCACACCCCTCACACGTTTCGTGGCCCCATAGGGAGCTCCACCGAAGGCCCCAGTGGCCTGGTTTGCATGCCTCCCCACCACCCATTTCGGCACATCCCTCGCACGTTTCGTGGCCCCATGGGGATTTCCACTGAAGGCCCCAGTGACTGGGTTCGCATGCGCTCCCACCACCCATTTCGGCACACCCCTCACACGTTTCGTGGCGCCATAGGGAGCTCCACCGAATGCCCCAGTGGCTGCGTTCGCATGCCGCCCCCACACAAATTTCGGCACACCCCTCACACGTTTCGTGGCCCCACAGGGAGCTCCACCGAAGGCCCCAGTGGCTGCGTTCGCATGCCGCCCCCACACCAACTTCGGTGCACCCCTCACACGTTTCGTGGCCCCATAAGGAGCTCCACCGAAGGCCCCAGTGGCAGGGTTCGCATGCCGCCCCCACACCCATTTCGGCACACCCCTCAAACGGTTTGTGGCCCCATAGGGAGATCCACCGAAGACGGTACTCACACCAGCATTGCTCACAACTGCATATGGTTGGGTCCTTCGCCAGGCTTTTTTTTGTTGTTGTTTTCCTTTCTTTCTCCCCCCCTCTCTCTATTTCTTTCTTTCTTTCTTTCTCTCTCTCTCTCTCTATCTCCCTCTCCGGTGGTTTGAAATATTAGGTGAGGCGCCATATTGGCCTGGAAACTACAAAGAGCCCTCAGCGTTGACAAATTGGGCCGCCTCCGACGCGCCCACTCGCGCATGGTGGTTCCCGCATTTTGCGCAAGAGGGATGTCGCAAGTTGGCGTGGCAACTATAGCGGACCCCTAGCGGTGACCGCTTGGATTTCCAACTTGACATCGTTTCTCCATGGGTTTTCCATTAGCGCAGGGTACAACGCTCCGATTCGCGCGCGCGCTCTCGCGCTTGTTTTTGTTTGTATTTTCTGCAGTCGGGAGAATCGCCATCTTGGTTTGGCACGTAGACAATGGTGCTCAAACGTTGACCGAATGGGTTTCCAACCGAGCATGCGGTCTCCACGGGTTTGTCCACAGGCGCAGCGTAGGATGCCCCGATTGGTTTCTGCAGTGCGCGCGCGCGCTCGTGCTTGGTTGTTTTCGTGTTCTTCGCAATAGAGAAGTCGCGATGTTGGCCTGGAAATTACAGTGGGCCCGTAGCGGTGACCGGCTGTGTTCTGGACCTATAGTGCGGTTTTCACGGATGTGTCCACTGGGGCAGCGTACGCTGCTCCGACGCGCACTTGGTGGTTTCTGCATAGTGCGCAATTGGGAAGTAGCCCTGTTGGCTCGGGAACTAGCTGGACCCTGAGCGGTGGCCGATTGGGTTTCCAACCGAACACTGGCGCAGTGTTCAATTCTCCGACGCGCGCGCGCTCGCCGTTGGTCTGAGGTCTAACTTGAAAAAAGTTCCCCGCGGGTCTGGCCACAAGTGCAGCGTGCGCTTCTCCAACGCTCGCGCATTCGCGCGTGGTGCTTGTCGCGTTATGCGCAGTAAGGCAGTGGCCCTGTAGGCCATTTGGCGATATGCGCAATAAGGGCGTTGGCCGCTTGGGTTTTCAACCTAACATGCTATCCCTGCGGTCTTGTCCATTGGCGCAGCGTGTAATGATCCGGCACCCGCGCTTCATTATGCGCAAGGGGAAAGTCGCCATGCTCGCTTCGAACCTAGAGTGAAACTTCAGCGTTGACCTATTAGGTTTCGAACTGGATTTGCGGTCTCCACTGTTGTGTCCAGTGGCTTAGCGTGCGCTGCCGTGACGCGCGTGCGGGGCAGTTTTCATATCATGCGCAAGAGGGAAGGCGCCATGTTGACCCGGCAACAAAAAATGCCCATTCGTGTTGACCGATTGGTCTCTAGCCTAACATGCGGTCTTCTCGGGTTGGTCTACTCGCGCAGCGTAGAGTGCTCCGACGTGCGCTTGGTGGTTATCGTCTTGTGCGCAGCAGGGAAGTCGCCGTGCTGTTCTGGGAACTATGGTGCATCCGTAGCGTTGGCCATTTGGATTTCCAAACCAACATGCGGTATTCACGGTCTTGTCCATTTGCGCAGCGGGCAAGACTCCGATACGCGCGCTTTGGTATACTGTGCGAGGGGGGAGACGCCATGCTGTCAGGGAAACTAAAGTGTATCATCCGCGTTGACCGACTTCTTTTCCAACCTAACATGCGGTCTCCGCGTGCTTGTCGACTGGCGGCGCAGTTTATGATGCTCCGACGCGCGCTTGGTGGTTCTGGTATCCTGTACAGTAGGGAATTTGCCATGTCGGCATGGGAGCTAACGTTGCTATTGTTGCTGATGGTGTTGGCTCAAGCCAAGGGCGGCTCAAGGGAGCTCCCGGCCCCCGCGCCCGGCCCCCGGCCTCCCGCGCGCCTGGCCCCGCTCTGCGCCGCGGCGGCCGAGCACTTCGGAAGGGCAGAGGCGCGAGCCGCAGCACAAGCGGCGGCAGCCCGAGCCTCCGCTCGAGGGCTTGGCTCCGGACGAGGGCCTGGCGTTGTCGCCGCGGAAGACGGCGCGTACGCCGCTGCCATGCCCTCTGGCCGTGAGCCGCCGGCACTTTGCGAAGATGGAGCTGCTGCTGGAGGAGACGCAGGCTCGGGCGAGGTTGCAGTCGTCCAATCCCTCGGAAGCACGGCTGCTGGAGGTGAAGACCGCGCTGCTGCAGGCCCGGCTGCTGGAGGCGAAGATCGAGTGCACGAAGAGGGAGCTGCTCGCGCTGGGAGTCAGGCCGGCGACCAGCAGCCCGGCGACCAGCTCGGCGGCCAACAGCTCGGCGACCAGCTCGGCGGCCAGCCCGGCGCCTTGCCTGGCTGCAGGCCGGGCTCTCAGTCCGGCTCCCAGCCCGCCGAGCAGCCCGACGTCCACCCTGGCGTCCTGCCAGCACGTGTCGCTGGTGCAGTTTGCGGACGACGTGATCTGCACCTTCGCGGTCCCGGCGCCGACACCGGACCCAAGCGACGCCGAGAGTCACCAGCCGCTGTCGGTGGCCCCAGGGGAGGTGGAGGGGGTGGATTGGGACCCGGACCCCAGCGAGGCTTAGACAGCCCGCCGCCGAGCGGGACGCCGACCTGTGCCAGACCAGCCGCAATCTTCGACCTCGCCGTGCTCGACCCGGTCCCGGAGCAGCGCTTGCAGTCGCCACTCTTCCCCTTCGGAGAAAATTTGGTGTGGGCTTGGTACCGCGATGCTCTGATTCCTGTTGGTTTAGTGGAAGTCTTCCAGCTGAATGGTGACGATTCGTATTCTGAGACGCCTGCTCCTGCACCTTCCTTGTTGGTCAGAGCGTGCGCCTTCCCCGGCTGCGCGCCCGGCGCCCAGCCCGGCGGCCCGCCCGGCACCCTGCCCGAGGGCCAGCCCAGCGCTCCGGCCGACGCCCAGCCCGGCGCCCTGCCCGGCTGCCTGCCCGGCGCCCTCGCCGCCACCGCCGTGACCGGCAGCCAGCCCGGCACGCCGCCCCCGCCGGCGTCGGCGCCCAGCCCGGCGCCCGGCACGGCTGCCAGCCGGCCGCCCAGCCCGGCACCCTGCCCAGCGGCGCGGCTGGCGCCCTGCCACCAGGCGGCCAGCCCTGCGCCCCCGCCCAGCCCTGCGCCTTGCCAGGCTGCCAGCCCGGCCCCCCGGCCGACGGCCGGCCTTGCGCCCTGCCCCGCCGCCAGCCCGACGGCGAGCCCGGCGCCCCCGCCGACGCCTTGCCCGGCGCCCTGCCAAGCTGCCAGCCCAGCGCCCCCGCCGGCTACGAGCCTGGCGCCTTGCCCGGCGGCGCGGCCGCCGCCCTGCCGGGCCGCCAGCCCGGTGCTCCCGCCGACGCCCTGCCCGGCGGCTAGCCCGGAGGCGAGCCCGGCGCCCTCGCCGACACCCAGCCCGGCTCCCTGC